TGATTGCTGACTCCTGAAATGTAATAGACACCTAACTATTGTGACTGCTGACTCCTGAAACGTAATGCAGCGCGCATATGCATCCTGATGCATAAACAACACTAAAGATGAAAGGGGACTCGTTTTCTTCAGGTGGGCCACCCTGCGGTCATGATAAATGGTGAGGTTGTTTTGAACAAGATCCTGAAAATAACCTATCCTTTGGCCACTCTCAAGAGTAGACCACTATTAACCACCTTCCCAGTGAAAACTGGCCATTCACTCCAATCACATAATCAGGTATTAATACATGACAGAAAATGATGGCACCTCTCACCTCTTGGTTACCAAATTTCCATTCAAAGTTTCTGATCAAGTACTTTTATCAAAATGCCTCTAGGAAGTCTGAACAAATTAGAACCACTTAGATCATTTAACCTATTTGACCACCAATTCCTTTCAGTGTTTTGTCCAGTGCTGCATCCAATCCAATTTGGGGCTTTCATCTATGAAGGAAAAGAAAACAATCCGAGTATAGGGCTGCCACTCCATCGGCTCCTGACAGCTTCTGCAATCCTGAGTCAGCTATGGATGACCAGGAAGGGGGGCAGGGTGCCAGGGACAGAACAGCCCTCTCTAAATGGCACCAAAAAGTCAGTGCTCCCAAGTTGATTCAGACTCATGGCGACCCCAGGTGGTACACAGTAGAACTGTTCCACAGGGTTTTCTTGGCTGCAATCTTCATGGAAGCAGAGAGCCAAAGCTTTCTTACCTGGTGTCACTTGAAGGATCCGAACCACCAACCGCTACATTAGTAGTCAAAAGGAAACCATTACCCAGGGACCTTCCCAGAACCACAGATCCAGGGAAAGTTAGGATTGTTAGGGAGCAAATCTGTATTTTTCTTCACCTCCTTGAACCTCAGCCACATGCATCACCAATCCCAACCTTGTCTGAATTTTCATTTCCAATTCAAAAAGTACCAGAACACACTGGATTAAGAGAGAAGCTGAACACTAGGCTACAGAATACTCTGGCTTCACTAAGTTATTTCTGGCATTATTCACAAAAAAAATTATTTTCTATCTTATGAATTTAAAGGACAAAAAGTCCTGACATGGAAAAATCCTTCAGAGGTAGACCATCAACTTTATAAAGCTCCGAAACCTCCCTCATGTCGATTTCACTTTCTCCAATGGGAATCATGGACCACCTCCGAGTGAAGACAACCCCTCTGATTCTCATTCTAACATGATGTAAGTATTGGTTTCTTACCGTTACACTTCTTGCTGCTATTCCAAAGGCAGACAACTCAAAAATACTAAGCACAACCACCTCTCATTTCAAACACTGGGACCAGAAGGGGAGCAGTTGGGCCTCACCTGAGAGGGCGCGTGCATCCCCAGGGCAGTGTGTCACGGGCTACACACGTTACAGGAGTCAGACAGCACAAAAGGGAGTGCTTGCCCAGCTCTGCTAAACCGACCACCAGCACAGGCCAGTCTCTTACCAGCATGTCGGTGGCACTGAGATAGTGCTTGGTGGCCATACACTGCTCCAGCTTTTGAGGCACTTGTTTGATGTTCTCTATCTCATCCAGCAGGTTCAGGACGTGCTTATGCTCAATTCCTTCAATCCACAGTTTCCGCAGCTCATCCCTCTTGCAATGCAACAGCATCTTGCACGAGAGCAGATTCTCCTTCACCTACGAAGAAACACAGTCAATTTTGGGACAGTTCAAAGTCTTGCAGCCTAAATCCGTAAGTAATCTGGTTAGTATTCCTCTCTGGTACTTGGTCATGTAATTTGCACTCCCATTTGATCCCCTTGGTTGGTCATCATGCAAAATTCTAATCCTGGTTTTCACACTCACTCACTCGGGTACATCTCCACCTCTCTGTGTCTGTATTTTCTCTGCCATGAAATGAGAAAACTATTCCTGGCCCACCTTTGAGTGAATCTAGGAAAAAATCATAAAGGATACAAAATACTCTGAAAATATGAGCAGCACATAAATGGTAACATATCTAAAAGGAAAATGGAGGACATAAGAGTCTCTAGTCTTTCCTTCTCCACTCCTCCTTGTGGATCTCCTATCCACCTGAGACACCTCTGGACCCATGGTTCTAGCTCTAGAACAT